CCTTATTTAGTTTTATTTGATTTATTGAGAACAATGAAAGTATTTCAATTGACTTTTTTTTTTAAATGACATTTACACATTTTTCTTTCTCCAACGGTACGGAATTTTTTGACAGAGGTAAATCTTTTATTGATCACCGGAAGAAGATGCCAGATCTCTAATTTTCAACATTTAAGGTCGTTTGCTCGGTGACGATTTGGGGAAAACTATTTTATATCATTATTTATTATGTAAAACTCCAACTATCATAACAATCGCATTACCACGGTTCAAAAGTCAGCCTGCCCTAATGGATATATATTCCTACATGTATACATTATGGCTGCTTTTTTCTTTCTGAGCATATCTATTGGCGGATAACTCACTTTATAGTAGTTTTAACAATACATGGTGCATATATAGACTTTAAGCCTAGTCACCTTGTAGAAATTTAATTCTACATCATTTCAAATGGCTGAAAATAACTTTTCCAATTCTGTCAAAAAAGTGGATATATCCTGATTGGTCAATTAATGCTAATATCCTGTTTTCCGCTACGTCCGCATTGTATTGACCTAGTTTCTGGCCTGAACGGAAATTCAATTCCGCCAAAAATCTGTCTATGTGTTTCGAGCGTATCACGTGACATACAATATTACAAATACCAAGCGACATCTTCAACTCTTTCTTCTTTGCCTTCTCTCTCACACACAAGATGTAACGTAAGAGAGATTACGTTCGCTCCATAAGGGCAAACGCTATGAAACGCGCATACGCATGCTCACACGTACGTACGTACGTTCGTACGTACAACTAACACATCTATTCATCCTGTCAACCAGAAGCAACAAAAACTTATTTAACTTCTAACAGAGCGATTTTCTTCAGCACTCAACAAGTGTGAACATTTCTTTCATTGAGACTTAACTTTATTTCATGAACTGAAAACTTTTTCTGTGAGTTCAGTAAAAAATATTTCGTCTTAAAAGGCTTTAAGAATTTCAAGTTAAAGGTAAATAATTCCTGCTATTAATTACAACTCTTAATATATAAAAATCACACATTTGATTGCTTTGTATGTCATACAGTAAAATGAAGATTATTTGTTATTATAAAAACAGTTTTTGTGTTGTTTCTCTTGCTTATTGTTTGCTGGCACATTTGTAAAGTAAAAAATGTACGGATTGAATTGAGGCCGTTCAATCCCGCTACAACCTCTCCGACACTCCTTGTTATTTTTATTGATTTAAATTTCGGGCCACTGGTAGTCTATTGTATTTTGGTGGGTCGACCTAAACGATAATTCTATGCCTAACACAGAATCTTGAGATAAAAATATTGAGTTCAACTTGTACGCCATGTTGTCTTGTACACCTAAGGTTACAGTAGATTATCTACTTTGAATAAACTGGAAATCCATCTTCCTTCATGAAATGCTTTTCTAACCTTTTTGAAATATTATAATGAACAAGTGATTCCATAGTTTGAACCCATAATACAATGTTCTGCTGTTTTTCTGAAATTTTCCAAATACTTCTCAGTTTTCTTCCTTTTTTCCTTGAGATATAATTTGAGAAACCCTTTGTCTTCATCTGTCAGTAATACACGATTTAAGCGTTATACATCTTTGAAGGTTCCTTTTCATTGTAATTGACAGAGCATGTCATTCGATAATGTTGCGTAGACAAATTAAGTGACTAAGATCACCGATAAATTGTTCATTTTCCGCTTGCTCACACAAAGCCCTCACTTTTCTTGTATGTATCTGAGCCCAGCCTTTTGGTTCAGAAATAAAGAGAAGAAGAGATTAAGAAAGAAAGAAAGAAGGAAAGAAAGAAGGAAAGAAAGAAAGAAAGAAAGAAAGAAAGAAAGAAAGAGTGAATGAGCGTGAGAGTGGGAGAATGAGAAAGGTTTAGGAGAGTTACAGCGGTTAGGTTCTAATAATCGTGATAAAAAAAAAGAGAAAGATATTTTGACCGCGTCAAGAGAAGGAAGAAAGAGAGAAGGGTGAATCTAAAGAAGTGAACAAAGAGAAATAAAGAGAGGAGGAGATTAAGAAAGAGATAGATATAAAAAAAAGTGGGAAGGATTTAGGAGAGTAACAGCGGTTAGGTTATAATAATGATGATAGAAAAAAGAAAGGTGCTTTGACAGCGTCAAGAAAAAGAGAAAAGAGAGAAGGGCGAATTTAAAGAAGTAAACAAATAGAAATAAAGAATGAAAGAGATTAAGAGAGACAGAGAAAGAGTGTGAGTGAGAGAGAGAGAGAGAGAGAGTAAGTGAAAAGAGTTTAGGAGAGTAACAGCGGTTACGATCTAATAGTGATGATACAAAAAAAGAAAGATGCTTTGTCAGCGTCAAGAGACAGAGAAAGTGACAAGTCATTCAGTATGTGCCACGTGTGATACACGCTTAGGCGATCACGTATCTTTCGGTACATGACTGACGTGGCAGATTTTTTTTCCCGCAGTAGTTTGCCATTTCTTTCTGCGTTAGACCAGTTGCCACTCAAGGCAATAGA